TTCTGGGAGTTGAAGTCCACTCATCTTAAAGTGGCCAAGTTTGGACAACACTGCTGTAGCACAATATATGAACTCAATCTTTGGGGTTTGTAACAATGGTTTACTACCCTGACTTATGAATCCAGTTTCAGAGTCAACTGTAAGCATTTCAGTCATCGTCACCCACAAACGGCACCTCGGTGAGTGCCGGTTGAAAGACTTTTTCCCTGCACCCAGAGAAATCCTATAGCGTCAGTTTTACGTTGCGCTGCGTCGGATCGCTTCCAGAACATCATAATGTTCTGATAATCCAGCCATCCAACCAGCTTTCCAAACCTTGTCACTGTGCTTATTAATAACAGGCATTCCCATCTTAAACTTCACTGCAAGAACACATTGAAACGTTTACCCATCATTGTCACTTGAATCCCATTTTCTTCTCCAACATTGAGTTCCTCAATTACTGCAGAAGAGAAATAAATCTCTATGTTCTGCTGAATGACCGAGTGGGTATTTTTAATGAATGGGTTATGATGTCCGGGGAAATAAGCATCTTGGAGAACTGAATGAACTTCTGCCGTGATAAACGGGTGTCCGGGGAAGGTCTCGAACTCATGTGCACGGCTCACACCTTGTGGTAAGTTATCATTTGTTTATGTATGGCTTGCTGAATAAACCACAGTTGGGCGGATTCTCACCCGAGGTTTAGCCCTAAACCTGGGAGTTATGCAGTAAACCAGACAGAAGCAAACGAGGGTTTGGTGTATTGTCGGAACGCGACCTACGAGTACAGAAATGATTCCTGATAAGGGAGATTCACATACATACTTTTTTTTTTTAATCACACTCTGTTCCTTAAAGGGGGTGTATTTTCCATTTCAGGTGGGGGAGTGTGTTAAGATTTGTGTGTGCGTGTATGGTATGTGTGTTTTGCATGTTTCTTCTCTCAAAAGAAGGGAAACTGAGTAACTGATGATTATGTTTGGATCATATTTTAGCATTATCTGTGAGCAATTAACCTCTCAGCTTAGAAAGCTAGTTTGGGATAGTGGTGAAGGTGTTGCACCGAGACCAGGCAAAACTAGGTTTAAGACCCCTCGCCTCCCTTCATCATGGAAACTCTCTGGGCCAGTCTTCTTTCTCAACCCAGCCTACCTTGCAGGATTGTTGTTTGGGGGAAAATGGGAGGAAGGGGTGTAATATGGGATTATGCACACCCATCTTGTATGTATGTATTTTATTTTCATTTTCATCATTTCATTTCATTTACTGGCTTGCCATCCCCACCTTTAAGCGTTGCACAGGGTTACACAAACCCAACTTTTATTTAGTTATTTATCTTTCATTTGTTCATTACCTATTATTTTATTGGCTGGATTTTCTACCCTTTGAAGGCAGGATAAAAATTAAGCAATAAAAGAAAGAAAGGAGCACGGGTTGGCATCTTTTGGTGACTGAATTAGCCCGGGCTTTGGATTCGCCCAATGGCATGATGGCAAAGGGAATCCAGCCCAGTGGGTGATGTCTCTTTTGAGTCAGCTGATTCCTGGTAACTTGGTGGACACATTCGACGCTGTTGGCTGGGCAAAAAAACCACAGCCTTTTAGGAACTATTTTGCCTTCCCAGTCTACAGCCCTGAATTCTTGGTGGTCTCCCATCCAATGAACTAAGCAAGTCCGACCCTGCTTTTGTCAGCCCTTCGAGGTAGTCCAGACAGAAAGCACCAACCACGAGGACTAACCCTGCCTTGATTGTAAGGTCTCTCCTCTGTTAACAGATCATCCATTCCTTGATCTCTTACATTCCTTTACCGGCTACCCCTAAGCTGGGCGGTAAGGATCCAGACACCAGTCGATGGCAGCAAACAGTTGGGAGCTGCGTATCTTTGGGCTCATCTTGTTAGCCCTTCGAGGTAGCCCAGACAAGAAGCACAACCAGGAATCCTAGCTCTATCTTTATTGTAAGGTTATGTTAACAGAATCTTGCAAGTCTGAAGGGATTTCTCCCCCTCCTCTCCTTGTGCCCTCCAGAAAACTAGGGAGGGTCCCTTCTGAGATGCTTCCCACGCCCCTTTTCCTTCTGTGGGCTGAGATACCTTTTACAGGCTAGTTGTCTATTCTGCAGCTCTTCCTTCTGTCTCCCAAGGCCGTTCCCACAGCCCATTGCAGCTTTGCTTCCAAGCAGAGAGGTCAGGCAGGCTCTGCCACCCGCTAAGGTTCACACACACACACACCACTTAAGGACCCTGCAACTGCAAGACCAGCTAAGGACCTGTTGGAACAGTTTCCACCCCCAAGCTTAGCATGCTAAGCAGAATCCGGTTCCAAGATCTCTTAACTGGCCTCCTTGAGCTGGGGGGACCCTTCCTCCTTCCTCCCTGAAGCCTTTGGCCTGACGTTCTACCACTCTGCTAGAAGCATTGCTGCCTCATGGGGCATAATGCACGTTTTGTGCACCGCTGGACAAGTTTCCTCTTCTCTCCCGGAGCTCGATTGTCCTCTTGGACACATCAGGCTAACTCATACGTGCTTAACCCTCTCCAAAAGGCTTTCTTGGCCTCTTTGGGGGTTCCTCCGGTATAAGCAAAGAGTTTGAAACCCTCCTGCTTTTTACTGGCTTTGCATTAACCCTTTGCATTTCGTTGGGTTGCATTAAGCCTGCAAAAGAAGTCGGGCAAGTCAGCTTGGATCGGACGCCCCCTGGTGGAACGCCGGTGGCACTGAAGGGTTTGGTGGTTCTCTGCTGGAGCGATTACATCAAGCGATTTCTCCACCGTGGCAGGCGGGCTGGGGAATTCTGGGAGTTGGAGTCCACACGTCTGAAAGCTGCCCAGGTTGAGAAACGCTGATTTATCTGAGCGAGAGGCGGACAGTGCATAAAAACCCACATTAAGTTCTCGTGCTCCAGGAGCGTCTCTTGCCCTGTGAGCCTGTAATGGGACATGGGAATGGCCTTGGGAGACAGAAGGGAGAGCCACAGACTGGACAACCTGCGTGTAAAAGGTATCTCGGCCCATAGAAGGAAAAGGGGCATGGGAAGCATCTCAGAAGGGACCCTTCCTAGTTTTCCAGAGAGTAACAGGAAAAGAGGGGAGAAATCCTTTCAGGCTTGCAAGATTCTGTTAATGTAACCTGACGATAAAGACAGAGCTAGGATTCGTGGTTGTGCTTCCTGTCTGGACTACCTCGCAGGGCTAACAGGACCTGCCAGTGATATCTTCGCCTCCCCAGACTCCTTCACAAGATGACTCTTGGGTGTAGGAAGCAAGCCGAGAGCCTTTAAACAGGTGGCGTTGGGCATACAAGTTTAATAATAAATAATAAATAAAATTTACACGCATCCCAATTCCTTCTCTTGCAATGCAATTTGATGGTTTTGTCCCGGAGGACAACTAGAATTTCTAATGCTTCCTCAATCCGGCCTTGATATCTCGGAGTAGCATTCCCCAATCTCTAGGATTTACACAATTTCAGTCCCCAGCTTGCTTAATTTTTCTTATTTAAACACACATACCCACAAGTAAGCTGTAATCCCACGCTGGGTTACAGACGCCTATTGATATGAATGGTGGCCACAGGCTTCCTACCTCAGGAGACTAAAATTTCCCACAATTCTCTGATTTGTCCTAAGGTCTGGGCATTCTGGGAAAGGTAAAATGATGGTTTGCGTCCCGCTTCCTGCCGATCCGTAAGGCAGAAGCCTTCTCAGGCCCCCAAACGATGCTCCCGAATGTATCGATTCCTTTCTTTCATGTATAAGCCGCCCGACTCCCAGCGGTTTACAAACTGTTTAAAAAAAATTAATACAAGGAGGTAACCGAAAGCGATAAAGAAGAAAGGTGGAAAAGGGAACTAACCCAGATGAGGTGAAAAAGAAGAAAAGAGGGCTTCAATTCTGCACATCAAAGTCCTGGACAAAGATTGCCATGTTCACTGGGACTTTTTTTGGATCACGTCATCTCGAGCAGTATTTCTCAACCTTGGCCACTGGAAGATGAGTGGACTTCAACTCCCAGAATTCCCCAGCCAGCCATGC